TATTCTTTCTGTCAGTTTAATCCCTTTTTCTTTTCCATTGACACATTGCTAATACCTCTTCAGACAGGCCAGACACTTCTGCTTCATCTGTACCGAACCCACAGTGCTTAACACCTTTTGACAAAATGGATACATCCTCCCTGTGGCTTGGAATTGATACACACTGTCAAAAAGGGTTTTCCGAACGGTCTCTCTTTGTCACCTTTACCAGATTTTTATCCTCTGTTGTAGAAATGTGCAGTTTAATGTTGCGTTTCAAATCATTTTTGGCTGAAAAAGTGTGTAATGGAATCAGGGTGTCCCCTGAATACTCCTAACAGTGGGAGATGCCTCTTTGTTTTGAACACCAGAGTCCCAATAGACCCATGACAGCAGTGAAATTACACTTTTGACCTTGTTCACTAAAGTGTTTCTTTCTCTGTATGATTAAATGAGAGCAACCAACAATAGCTTCCTCTAAAATGTATGAGTTTCTCCCTGTTTGTTTCTCAGAAGAAACTCAGAAAGGATGCTGTGCAATTCTCAGCTGATTGTGTTCTCCACCAAAAAAAACCCAATAACAACAACAAAAAAAAACCCAAGCCCTGCTTAATTCAAGGAGAGGTGGCTGTTTCATCCATATTAAAAATGCAAAAGCAATTGCTATACTGATATTTTCCTTAAGCCAGCGTTGTTGCTACATCCTGAGTGTGAGAGCAGCAGTACAACACAGTGGCAGTTTTCTACCCTTTTGTTGCTTCATTCACTACATATTTTAAAAGGGGGATATAAACTAAAGCACCAAATACTGTTTTAAAGTCTGAGTCTGAATGTGGTTATTTTCTATATACTTAAGGATCGGTGTGAATGCTGAAATACTCAAAAGATCATTTAGCTGATCATCATGGACTACACAATTATATCAATCCAAAAGATAAATGTAGTATTTTCTGTAGATTTACATACAGCCTTTTAAGCTCCTGGTGTTTCTCTTCATTTGCATGTGACTGAGTGGACGTAGCCCACTGCAGGATTTGCTGTGACTGCCAGTCCCATCTTAAGCACCGAGGCTCTGGCACATCTCTTGCTCCGCATTTAGTTGTTCAGGGCACGGCTTCTCTGGATCAGAAAATACTCAGTGAAGTGGCCAGAAGAGAGATACAAGATCAGGGTTTTTTTGTTTCTTCCATTTTATGCTACTTCAGCTGTGTTTTGGGGACTTTTTTTTCTCATGCTTGTTTGCTAGCTGTGGATGATGCTGCTTGGAGAGGGCATCGGAGGCACAGAGCATGGAGGGCAGTGCACTTGAGGAGGCTGCAGGTCTGTGACTCCCAATTTCCAATCCTGCCAAAAAAACTTTTGTTTTTTAATTACTACTTCATTGGTGATATAAATTAATGATTGGTGTGGGTCTGAAGCAACCTTGTCATCAGAGAATATTTGGTTAGTGTTGACATACTTGTTCCCTGCAAACGTGAATCATCCAGCTGCCTTTGGCAGGCTCGCCCTGTGGCTCTGCTCTAATGTGTTTCACCAGTGTGGCTGAAATTAAAATGTCACTGTTAAACATGGCAGAATCAGATGCTCTCTGGGCGCTGCTTCTTTTCGAGTTCTTCTTGCTTCCTGTGTAGCTATTTCTGACAGTTTAATAGGACAGCTGTATTCTGGTATAAAATAATACATTCATATTTCCACAGTACATGGGGAGCTAAATGCTTTCAGAGCACTATTTCATTGCATACATGCACCTTTCATGCATGGCAGAAGCAGTAATGCTCGTGTAACGCCATGTTGCTGCTTAGTCCATTAGGAAGCATAAAGTCAAAATTAATTGTCCTGCAGGAACGTATAGAGTGGGTCTCTAAAAGCAGTTGCTGGGCTGTTTGCGGCTGCCGCGTCAGCCAGGCTCCCTCCCCGTGCGCAGTTATTGACTTTGGGCTATTGAATTCAGGGCTCTGGAGGTTGCTCGGTGGGAAAAGCCTTCAGTCGGTGCTTGGCAGCTCTGTCGCTGCGAGGTCACGGAAAGGGCAGTGCAGTCTCCAAACCCAATTAGGGCCCGATTCAGGGAATCGCAGGGAAAAATCCCACCGAGCAGGGTGGCTCCCAGGCCAGGCTTTCACACCCAGCCTCTCCAGTGAGACGGCCAACAAATGTGTCCGTTTTTGTCACTTAGGCTGTCAGAAATACCCTTTGCTGTCGTGAAACTGCTAAGCAGCTGGTGCGGAAAGGTAAAGAGACTGGTAAGAGGATAACGAGCCCACCAGAGCTGAATTCAGACCTGTGACCTGTATAAGCGCGTCCGCGTCCCTCCCGTTACTCATATCTAGAGCCGTCTAACTCCTCGGATCAAATCATTTGACTCTTACGAGCAGCTGTAACTTTCAAGTTGAATAAAGTCCAACTGCTGAAAACATTAATGAAAAACATAAAGCTGAGGCTCTGTTTTATCTGGTATCAACAGCATTCCTTTAATTCCCTCCCTCCAAAGGTTGGTTGGTTGGGTTTGGGGTTTTTTGGGTTTTTTTTTGTTTTTGTGCTGGGTGGTGCTTTTCATCCCAGGTGGCTGTAATTTCTAGTGAAAATAAGTTGAGCCATGAAAGGTTGACCCACTTGCCTCTGAATTGCTTTTTATATGATGTGAGTCCCTCAGGGCCCAATTCTACCCATAGAAGTGAGAATGATTGCTATCAACGTATATAGGAAGTATGTCAGTGTGCACAAAGAAAAAGGTGAACCCCAGACTGGTCTGAGTGGTCTTTAAAATATGGATTTCCTGTGAAAAGGTAATTAAAGGGGAAGCAAAGGATAATTAAAAAATTAGCCTGACGCCCTAGCAGTTATATCAATGTGTGTTTTTATATTAGCTCTTTCAGACAAGCAAAGATCAGTAGATCCCTTATGACTCTCTTAAACTAGTGTGTAAAATTTGGTTAGTGTCTGATCAGCTCCTTTGATCAGTCAGGTCTAGACTTTTGCCAGAGTACTTACTCTGTACTAAACCCACAGTCCCCTTAAATGGAGGCCTACTCAAGTGAGTCAAATTACATATGAAAAGGTTATAAAAACTGTCGACTGTCTTTGAGTAAATGAGTCTGGTTCAAAGCCGAATACCTTAGGAACTGCAAAAATAAAAGCAAAGGTGTTGTTGCACCTTTGAGGTGGTAGAGTTCTTAATTCATTTTTAAATGACTGTCTTGGAAATCCAAAAGAAAAATTTTCAGCAAACCTTTATTATTTTTAATTGGACCAGCATTTTTGTAAGCCTGTAATGTATTCGGATCCCATAAAGGGGAAAAAATTCCATCAAAAATTCTGCACTAATTTCTCTTAAGAAACTAATGAGTTACAACCACCATGTCTGTCTCATTTCAAGCACACGATATTGTTTTTAATTGTAGCAGTGGAGGGCCAGTGGGAGCCTTCAGTATGTAGGCTGCACTCTTGCCACCTCTAATTTCTACATAGGATTATTTACAAGGGAGTGCTGGAAGTCCAGGAGCAGTAAATTTGTTATCTGTCAAAGCAGAGCTGTTTTCCCCTCATCACCAGAGCCTTTTCCCAGCTCTCCCATTGTAGTGCAATCCTGTACCTGTCTGTTCTTTGCCATGTGAATCTCAGAAATGTGAACAGTTGCTTTCCTCTTCGATAATGCTCTTTCCTTTTGCATGCTAGCAATAGTAGATGATCACTCGGAGACAATTTTAGTCAAGTATCATATCCAGAAGACTTAGAAAGTTATCCAGTGCCACTAAGTTTACAAAGCTGTTTTGCACCCGAGCTGGTTTTCTCAAGATGCCTGTGTCTTGAATTTAGAAGTTAAGACTGAAAAGTCTTCACGTACCTACCATATTTGTTGGTTGTATTACAGTGCCATCGGAATACCTGGCATAGAAGCAATGTCAGCAAATTGATGAAATTATCAAGAGAAGTAAGCTAGCATGTAAATATCGCATCGACAGATGAAAATATCACAGAAAGGAGACCATTTAAAATACATAGAATATGGAATCCAAGTGACAGTTGCTTGTTTTATCTACACCAACTCCTGTGCAAATTCAGGAGGAGAGCTGGTGCACTGCTACTATCCAAACACTGAATTAATCTACTGACGGTTGAGGAACAGCTCCAAAACAGGCATTAAAATCTTTGGGATGATAACATAGTTCATCCAGCTCTTCAAAAGCGCCAAGCATTACTATACTTACAGAGCTGCATAAATAATGGAAAGATTAAAAGAATGCAATTCTGTGAGTGAATACATGACCACCACAGAATGCGGTAGGAATACTGGGTAAATTTTTTCCCCCTTGTGACTGTGTTTCAGCCAGTGGCATTACAGCAGGGAATAATCAGACTGTATTTTGCATGTGGCATAGCAGACTGTTAAGAGGCAACAGGCAGGTGTTTGAGAGAATTTCCTCTCTGCTGTTTGCAGAAGTGTATGTGAAATCTCCTGGCTGATTTATAATCATTCCATTACCTGTCATCTTTCGGCAGGTAACTAGTTAAATTTGTGTTAAACAGGATTTGCTTTGCCATTTCCATTTGCTGTTGGAGTAGAAATGTTCTGTCATGACATATGACCAATCAATAATTGGAAACTGCTTGCATGAGTCATTTGAAGCCAGTAGTTTAGACAGTGTCAGACACAACTGGGATTAAAACCTGCAAAGGGTTGTTCTACAATCAGTGATTCTGCAGCATCTCCTCTGGGTGTCTGCATTTCACTTAATAAGGATACCCTGTAGTCATCAACTGAAATAACTCTTGCCTTTGTTGCTTGGATGTTTTTGTGAGCTCTGAAATGAACTTGGCATATACAAATACACTTTGTTATCCAGCCTAAAGGGTGCAGGGCAGGAATTATTATCCTGTTCTGCTGACAACTTCAGTAGAAAAGAAATGGCTTTATTTTACTGTGATTCTGAAGAGAATAAGAGCGTGACTGTACCCTGTGGTTTTCTGGGTATTTTTTTACCTTTTTTTTTTTCTGTACTGATGATGTTTTATTACTATTACAGGGCTATAATAATCCGAAATGGTGAAGTCATTCCAATGTCTTCAGAATTCACTCCAGAGACTGAACGCCAGCGACTTCAGTATCTGGTAAGAGACCTGAGGACCAAATCAGGTGCTGTTGATGATGAGCATTGGTGGTGATATCTCAGGTTAAGACATATGCCACTGAGTTACTGTGGCTCAGTGAAAGACCACATGTCAGCTGAACACCAGTGACTGACCACGTATGTCTTGTAGAGATCAGCAAATGTGGAGAAAAGCCTGGTGGTGCAAACCCCGATAAAAGGAGTCTTATCCCTTCCGTGAAGGCCATCGATTAGCATGGCTGTGCTTGTGTACCTTGTTCAGCTGCAGACCTTCAGCAGTTCATGGGTGTTGGATGATGAGAGCTCAAACATAGTGCTAACAAGCCACAGAGGTATTTCAATCCATCCCAGTGTTTACTGTGTGACAGTAAAAAATACCACAGACTGGTCTTTGTGTGCGTGTGAACCATATTGCAGGGTTTTATTGATTTGCTCTAATGGTGTGCCAATAGTATCTCAATCAGGTAAAACATATCCAACTTCAAGGTGACCTCAGTGAGCATTAGTAGCTGCAGGACAGGATGGGTGAAGACAGACTATTTTTATTTAGTGTAGCAGCACCCATAAAGCTGGGGCAGGGTGACTAGCTGAGGAGATGTGCGATGCTTTATACACCAAGTTGTGTTGGCTGATAAGGTGCCCAAGAAACATAATGCATGGTGTTATTTTTTGTGCAAACAATCCTGTTACTTAAGTTTTTCATCAATGGTCTGATCAGTTGGTTGAAGTTGGTTGGCTGTTTGTCAAAACGTCATTCCTAATGGGGCCGAGAGATTTCTTTTGTGCTTCTTCTGCTTTTTCCTCTTAGAAATTTAAGCTTAAGCCAAGGCAGGCTTACTGTCAGCGTTGTCTGACGTGAGGTGGACAGGTCAAGGCTAGTGGCATTCCCTCTTCTTAAGGTGTCTCTCATCTTCAGCCTGGCCCAAGCACTGTGGTTTGAAACTAGGCAAAATGCCGGTGGTTGAAGGCAGGGGTGGAAGGTTTTAAAGAAAAGTTGTAAATGTTTCCGCAATTGTCACGTTTGATTTTTAGTCATGTTCACCGGCTAGAAGCTGAAAATTTCAGAGGAAATACTGCTTTGGGAGTATTCATATTCAGAGAACCAAATGAAAGAGAGGCCTAATAAATATTTACAATTCAGTTACATTTAAAATAATTTGTTTGCCTTTAAAATAAAAGGTATCTTTAGTATCTAGGGAGTCTGCTACTTCTGTAGGAAATACGAGATAAAACATTGCCTACAAGGGATTTTTTTTCTCTTTTGATGTCCTTTCTAGCTTGTATTTGAAAACAGCAGCTGATCTGAAAAGCATTTCTGCTGTTTCCTTTGGAAAATTCCTTTACCTTTGTTTGTTTATTTTAATTCTGTATGTAACAAATATGCCAGGGCTATGGGTATCATGTTCAAAGAAAATACATGCAAGACAGCAAGAGCGTGAAACAAAATTAGAGATAATTTCAAACATAACATTCTGCAAGTAACATTTTTACTCTAGTGTTTAAAAAAAAAGAAAAGACAACCCCATATTTTGTACAAGGTTGGCATAAACATTACACTCCAAAGGTTGCATCTGTTTTGCTGATCAGATCCCAAATAATTCTCCTTGCTCACCTTGGCAGTTGCCAGGTTCTGCTATCAGTCTGTTGCATCATCAACATCTCTCTTCTGCTGTTCTTATCTGAAAGTTACTTACTTTGGATTTATTTTCTTCTATGCAGTTAAAGCTGAGTTTCTTTGTTTCAGACATGTTGCACTGCTCTTCCTGCACAATAGGAAGAAAATCACTTAATTGTTTTAGTATTAATATTTTACTTGGTAAATGCAGAGATACGGTTCACTGTGGGGAAGTTACTGCACAGGCAAGGGGAGGGTATGGATTTACAGCCTGCAGGCTGCTGAGCGTTGGCTCCCTGTGCAGTAGACACCGTTAGCACAGTCAGAGCGAAGGAGCTTTCCTCTGCCTTTAGTGCCTATTGATTGCTTCGGCCACACAGGACCTTGGTTTAGGTTAAGTGGCATCTTCTGGATTCGTGTCCTCTTTTCTGGGCCCTAATTTCCATCTGTAAAGAAATCTGCGGGATAATGAGTTGTTCAGGTCATGTGAGCATCTCTATAGGAAGTCCTCCAGCCTAGTCTTAGATAAAACTGTGCTTCAGCTAGTACTGGTTGAGTAACTGAGAGAGGGGGGAAACAGATGTTTTCCCTATCCAGCTCCCATTTTAATGCATGTTTATTGCCATGTATCCAAGAATGGCCTTGGGTATAGGCCTCTGGTGTGGCAACTTCAAAAGAACAAGTTGAATACCCAGTCATTCTGACTTTTGAGCAGCTCTGGGCATGGTCATCCCTCCGTCTCCACCTGCATCCCCTTGTTTTGCAGTCAGAGGACAGCATACAGCTGCAGAATTCAGGCAGGCCGTATGGCAGAAGCAGACTTCTGTGTCAGGGGACTTGTGAGAGTATTGCAGAAGGCAATCGATCCTTCAGTCAGAGAGCATTTCTTAAGATGTAAGGCGTGAAGGCCTTGCACCAGTATTCACTTGGTCTTTCGGCTTCTGTAGAAGTTCAGTGCACCATACTGCCTCCCTTCCACTGGCGGGCATTTACGAGCCTCCTTTTCTTTTGAATTTTTGTGTCTTTTAGCACTGTGGCAGCAGAGCTCACACAGTGCCTGCTCCAGGAAAGCCCTAGCTTCCTATATTGGTGTATCCTGAGGGAGAAGAAAATCCAGTATTGACTGGGAACTGCTCTGGTACATTCAGCAGTTGTGCAGGCACTGACTGCCGGAGGCAGTTTTTCTTTCATCTTCTGAGAAGACTATTAATTTCAGTCATGATAGTCTAAATTGCAACAGTAAATGGATAGACTTTGTTACTTATTCCCTTGTTTAAAATGAATGATGAATGAGTGTATTGCAGATGGGTGTATTTTTATTAGTTATCAAAGTTGCACTTCAAAGATGTCATGTGAGGTCAGCGTGGTGTTACTGCATACCGTGCCCATGCGTGTAGCCAGGCAGTGCCCCAAAAGTTGACAGCTCAGAGCAAAGACGGTGCACTGCTGCTACCAGGGCAGGCTCTACTACAGGTAGAGACTGGGTGGCCATCAGTGGCGGTGAGCTGTGGATGCTCTTTGTGTTTGGCACCATTCAAACAAAGGTTCATCAGCCTGGACAGGCATGGGTTCAAAAAGGACCTATTCTTATTTCATTGTTCAGGTAAGGATTAAGTGATATGAGCTTACCTGCTGAAGGATGCTTGGGGAACACAAGCCCGAAGAGGAAATTAACCTAGATCTCCTAAATGTCAGTTCAGTGCTTCAATTGCAAGTCAGATGCATCTTAATTCTCTTACAGTTTGTGGCTCCCTGCATCACCCAGCGTAGCATTGCTTTGGCCATTTGACACATTGCACAATGCTGTGGTAAAAGAGATGTCTGGTTTTATGGAAAAGGTCCTGGCCTTTCATAAAAGGAGAGACCAATCCAGGGATGGATTTGGCTCCTACTTCCCTCTTTCCTCCTACCACCACCTCCTTTAGTTTTAATCTCTGTTTCACTTAAACATGTCCATATGATAATGGCTCAGTAATTTGCAAAACTTCTGGATGTGTTGTGCTGTGCATGCTGTTGTGATCAGTAACCCTATATACAGAATATCCTATTGGAGAAAATGGCACAATATGATAAGAGGATAAAGTTGTAAGACATAGTTGACGCAGGGGAAAACGGTAATTCTGAAAAGAACATAGAATACAGTGAAACCACTTAGTGCCAGTGATGTCCCAGAGCAGTGCGTACTGGAGGAGCTGGAAAAGGCATCAGCAGGCTTTATCGAGGTAAGATAAGATACATGCAGTGTTCCCTGCCACCTAATTAACTGACATACTAGTGTGTAAGTCTAGGTTTATCTTAATTTCATGTTTGCTTTGCTGATCACCAGGAAACACAGCAGGAAGTAAATGGCCTTTTGAAATAAACGTGACTAATATTTCCTTGAGCGGACTCCATTTTAAACAACTAACGTTGAATGTAATACATCCAGCCACAAAATACACCATAAAATGGCAGAGTACCAAAAACACTTGATGCAGACTGTGCCAGATTTATGCCAAAAAACTGTAATAGCTTCTGAAAGAAAAATGATGGAAAATATTCCTGTTCCATAACACATAGCAACAATGTTGTCTTGAACATACCTCCTAAGGATATAGAAAGTGTTTGATAGTCACTCTTTTTATTAAATTTTAAGTTCTCTGAGTGGTGTTTCTGATCGGAGGTCTTGCAAATTGAGACTAAACAAATGAAAAAATGGAAAATATGGAGCCTCATCGCAGATGAAATTTCTGGTAGTCAGTTCACTTACTGTTTCTGTTTCTCGTTTGATCACTTGAGGGGATTTCATGGCATCTGCTTGTATATCTACTTGAAAGATCTGTAGATTTTTTTAAAGCATTGCTTTTTTTTAAATTATTTTCTGGTTCTGCTGCCCAGCACAGTTTGATTGGGGTCGAGAGGGAGAAGAGTCCTGCCTCATAGTAAATGAGAACAGTTCTCAAGAAACCTGACTGGAAGTCGCAGCTGAGTTTTATAGTAGAACATTCTTCTCTCTGTAGAATTACCAGTGAAGCATCAAAAATAACTGTTAAAAAGAAAAGGGTAAAAAAATACAAAAAATTTAAAAAAAAAAGCACCCAACAAAAATCCCCATTTCTGCACATAAGAATTCAGCTCACAGGCACCAGAAGCTTCCAAATTGCTCTTTTCCCTCTGTTCCACTGACGCCAAAAATATTAGAATCAAGTTAAGATCCCTGGATTGTAAATCAAGCATTGAGGCTTGGCTGCGGCAGAGAAATCTTATTTGAACATTAGCAGTCCACTGGTAACTCTGCCAGCTTTATTAATCTTATTTCACTTGTGACCTCAGACTTTCCATCTGAGTAAATCTTTATGAAATGCAGTCTCTCCCAATCGCTTTACCTTTTCAATAAAGGAAATTCTTGTTTTCAAGGGGAAAAATGCTAAAAGCCTGTAACTTTTTTCTTCTGGACCTGTGATCCAGCCTAATAAGTAATCTCATAATCTAAAGGTTAAATAACTTCACTTTGATGTCAGGTATGAGGTTTTTTGCTTTAAATAAGGCTTCTTGTTTTGTGGGCAGGCGACAGTTGTCTTTAACTAGAAGTGGTTTGTAATGATTTAATCAAGATAGGCTGTGCATTTTTAAAAGTGAACTGAATTGCACTTTCAAAGCAGACTGACTTCATTGTTTACAATGTCATAGACTAGAAAGAATTTAAAAAACACCAAAAAAAGTCCAGCGCTCTGCTGTCGATGTGTAGCAATACATCAAATAAATCATTAGGGATGTTCCATCTTTTTTGCGACTGGAATGAAAATAAATAAAAATACAAAGTTTACCTGTACTTTTAAATAAAGAATCCAGAGTTCTGGAAGTATGGAAAGCCTCATATGGACTAATACTGCTAGACCTCTCAAAAGTCACTAGTGCTTCTCAACCATTTCTGTAATGAGGAACAGTGATCCAATTAGAGGGTCCTTGAAAACAATATTTGGGTGGGGGAGGGGACGTTGGCTGACTGTAGACAGCAGGAAAAAAAATGTAATTCCCTTAACTGTACACGGGGAGAGAATTTGATGGAGCTCCTGTTCCAGGAAGAGATCACAATGTCAAGATCACATTTGCGTGCTTGAAAGCTGCTTCGTGAAAGCAGAATCCAATCTTGTCAGCTACACGCAGCAATCTCCCTCAGCCCTGTTTCAGCCGAGCTCGAGGTGTTTTCTGGAAGGATGTCTGGCGACGGGAACGGGGACAAGCTGATGGAAGGTTAGCACTGTGATGTGCTGAGCCTGATCCAACTCCTATTAAATTGAGTGGGAGCAGACTCGGCCCTTAAATGCAGGAAATATTTTATTGTGAAATATCTGCATGATAGCTGCCAGGTAGATCAATAAGGGCTTCCGCTGCTTCCTGCCACTCACCTTTGATGAGCGCTAGATTTATGACAAACCCACAAACTAAAGCCAGCTCATTTGGTCTGCCCTGACGGCAGCTGCTGCTGGAGATAAGACAGACTTTATTGCCCTAACTGTCTGGATAAGGAAGATGAGTTATCTGCAGAAAGGTTAAGAAACGCAACTTTTTTCAGTTCCCTAGCCAATTTGACTGTGTCTTCAGAAGAGCTCACTCATAATGTAGCTTTAGGGAGGGAGAGGGAAAGGCTTGTTTATACAAATATTAAAGAAAAATGAGTGAGGTTTAAGGATTAACCTGTCGTGTCAGGTGATCTGTGTATAAATCCAAACCAAAAGTCTGTGTGGTGGACAAAGAGCTTCGTGATGCTCTCAAGTACAGTCAACTCTGGAGCACATGAGCCTCGGGCACAGCTCTAGCAAAGAGGCATCTCAGCATCTGCAGAGCTGCAACACCAGAAAGGGCAGCAGCAGCACTGTTTGAACGTTAACACCGTCAAAAACATTAGTTGCGGTTGTGACACAAAACCACTGCTGCTTTTCTTAAAGTCTATTCTGTACAAAGGAGGTAGTTTTTAGAAAACAAGAAAATAAAGTGCTCTGCAACTTGTGTTTATTTGCAGTGTCTCATGTGATGGGTACAGCACACTGAACAGGTAAAAGGGAACATTTTTCTCAAGGCAGTGAAAATTAAAGTGTGGTTGTAATATTAGGGGGTGTGTGTTGTTGGCATAGCTGAACTGGGAGTCAAAAAGCTTCAGCTTCGCTCCACACACCCCCCTCCAAGTCTCTGCTTGCTCCATGGCTTTGTCCTTTGATTGTTCCCTTCTCTCAGGTCGCTGACTTAAAAAAGGGGATGTGTTCTGTTTTACAAAGTCCTGCAGACTCCTTCAGGGTCAGTGGATGAGGTGTACTTTAGAGATCCCAAATGTTGAGGAGTAGGGAGAAGTAGTGAAGGATTTTGAGCACGAGAGGACTGCACCCTGTAAGGCTGCTGCTGGACACCAGGCAGTGTCAGAACTGGTGTATGTGCATATCATTTGCTGAAATGGAGCTCATCATCTTCCTTGTTTAAAAAGGGGGAAAAAAATGTGTGTGGGAAGGGAGCGGGAAGGGATGGTAATGCTACCTCATTAAAAATAGATGATGTCTTGTTTTATGATGTTCGTGTGGTATCTGTGGCTTGGTTTCTGCCCACAGGCTTACATGCAGCCCCACTTGCTGGGAAATGAGTTCACACATTTAGAGTTTCCACGGAGGGTGCAGCGCAAGGAAGTTGGAAAGAGGATGCTCTACCGTGACTTCAACATGACCGGCTGGTAAGAATGTGTCCTTCTCAGCATGGGGTCAGCCTTCTCCCCAAGCAATGCCTGCTTTGTACGTGTCTTTGATTAGTGTAAACTGCATCAAACATGGAGGTGTATGCCTGCGTACTAAAGCGAAAGGTATTCCTTCTTTCAGATGTATTTTTCTTTTAGAAGTTAACATTTTAAATAAGTTGACCTTCCTCCAGGGCCAGGACCTCAGTTCATTGTAACGTGTGAGCACTCAAAGCGGAGCATACGCATAAAGGGGAAGATGTGCCAGGGGATCGTCTTGAAAGCTGAACAACTTTCCTATCTTGGAAGTAGCTTTATGTAGAATCTGGATCGGTGGTCCGTCATGCCTTTGCATGCCGAGGAATGCTTGCGGAAAAGCTGCCTCCCATACTCCCGTACAGATGACCCCTGATTTGGGTAACCCTTGAGGAATTGTTTTAGAGACGGGCCTATCTGAATAAAAGTCATAGCCACTCTAAAATGAAAAGGCTTGGATGAACAGCATTGACTTAATGAAGTGAAGACAGGAAGAATGATGAGATTTTTGTCTCTGGCTAAAAGTCTTCGTTGTTTTGTGTCAGTTCAAGAGGCTCCTTCTCAAGTGACTCCCAGTCACTTAGAGAAGCCCTAATCCTTGCTGTTGTGGGCTCTCTGTGTGACCTATAAAGGCAAAGGCCCTATATTTGCAAATGGTCTTCACTTCCATGCTGTTTGTGTTTTAGCATCCTTAGCAAATGTCCTTTCAGGAAGGGAAAGAATGGAGGGGGTTAAAAAGCCTGAACTCTTGTAGGTTTGACGACTTGGAGGCTCACATGCAACTACAACTCCACATGCTTTTGATTTGTCCTATACTTTATAGACCATAAATATAATGATGTTTTAATGGCAGAATAATGATCTAAGTTTAATATTATCTGGAGTGTTTGTGCAGAACATGTTAATCTGGGAATAACCATTGTTGTCCATCGTTTTGAACAGCTGCTAGTAGAATATGCAGTCTCACCCTGAGAATGATGACTTCACATTTTGAAAAGGCTACAGGCATGAGCAAAAGAATAGGAACAGAATGAGAACATTGGATCAACTGAGGACTTAAACAGCAAAACATTTGGAAGATCATGAGACACTCTCCCAGTTTCTGCAAAGGGAGTTTTCTTATTAAACTCCCGGATGTCTCTGAAGGCATCAGTAAAGAATGGCTTCATGTAGACTTCCAAAAGCTCTTTTTCAAGATGTGAGATGCTATTGGGGAAAAAAAAAAAGGAAAGAAAAAAAACCCTTCTAATTTGAGGGAGAGCTATAGAAGTATCATGGGCCAAGAACTTCCTCAGAGGAGGGTAAGAGCAGAATTCTTTCATCATGGTTGGAAGGCAAAGAGGGTTTCTCCAGGTTCGTGGGAGTTGTTTTGCATTTTCCCAGTTGGTTAGTGGTCTGGAAAGGAAATGAGGTTAGAGTGGTTGAAGTTGCAGCATTGGCAGGTGACACCACAGCTCTTTTCCTAATAAACAAGAAGGGCCATGAGGAACTGCAAAGAATTAAGTGATTTACATGAACAGACATCACAATTATCAAATTTGGTGTTGATAAATACTAAGTAAAGCATGAAGAGGGAAAAATAACTATTTGTGCACATTAGAGGTTCCAAATGAACTTGAGAGCGGTGTCAAAAAGCCCAGTGAAAGTTCTGCTTACTGTGATTTTTTTCCAGTCAAAATCACCAGCGGAGTGTTGAGATGCATATAGGGTTGGAATGGATAAAAATTAAAGAAATAATTCTGTATATCAGTTTGTACCTCATTTGTGAATCTGAGCATAACACTTCACCTTATTGAAAATGGTTATTGCATAGCTAATACTGTTTGGCATTAGAAGAAAAATAAATAAGAAGGAATGCAAATTTTAAATGCAAAATAATGACTAAGGTAGAAGAGCTTGGGTGAGTCTAAACAGATGGCAGATTTGATTCAATGTATTGTTTTTCAGTCCTGATGTGTGAACTCTGTTAACTCTGTCACATGTCAGTGGGGAGAAGAGAGTTGATTTTTCCTTTTGATTTTTCTGAATTTCCTCAAGTGTAGGACACATGTTGATCCAGTTACAGATTCTGATATGGTTGATGCAAAAATTACCACCAGTTCAGCACAAATATGCCTAGCTGTAAGCAGATATTCCAGAATAAATACTTAAACTGTGACTTGAAAATTCAAGTCTGAATTCACCTCAGTGTTGTCCCAGAAAGAGGTGTCCTGTACCAAGCAAAAGCACGTGGAGATTGTGATGAGGCTACCTCTCCCTGCTGTTCCTTTTGACTTCTGGCTGGAAGTGGAAAATGGGGGCTACATTTTTGTCCTGAATAAAAAAACATTAGAATCTTCTCTCTGCTCCATATCCCACAGCTAGTGCACCAGTTACCTCTTTGTTAGTTTGCCTCAGGACAATACAATGGTGAGGGAATTGCTCTATTGCCATACATTTATCTAAATCAGAGCCCGTCTAAATAAGGATCCATTTCTTTTTGCAGGGTGTTTCCCCAAGGGAGTATTGTTTTCCATTGAATTGTGTGCAGTGATCTCCGAAGCAGAGGAGAAGCAATCTGTTTCTATTTATCCAAAAGTCTGGGTCAATTTTAATGGTTGAGATTGTGGACAAGACATTAGATTTCCAGCTTGGTGGGCTCTCAGAGGCGATGGTTTGAGGTGGCTGGTGTTTCACAGTGGTCGTTTTCCACGTCAGGGGTTTTGCTTCTATTTTCTTCCCTTTCTAATTCCTAGATTTAACTGATGCATCAGGACACAGTGGCCGAGGACATGTCTGTTCTGCATTTGTTTCTAAGGGCAATATCTATCATGGAGAATAAATTAGCATACATATTCCTTTTCTAGAAAACATCAGATGGAGCTTTGGCCAGCCAGCGCTTGATACACTAAAACGCTGCCAAACTTTTATCACTTACAATGCAGAAGATCAATTGTCTGAACCTTTTTTTGGTCAGTGACTTCACTCTGTGTTGACATTTGCACATACATGTAGAGAGGTGACGGTGATGTTAGGAAGAAACAGCCACTCTTACACTTAATTACTGACTCCTTTAGTGAGAGGGTGTAAAACTCTCTCTGCTCTGATGTTTCCTCAGGAAAATGAACTGGTTTATTTTAAAATTCAGGACGCTTTCTGTGTTTTCTGTTAGAAGCTGTATGATTATTTTTTTTCTCCTTCATTTTTACCCTTCTCCTGTGCTCTGGAGCTTTTCAGATTCTCAACAATGGCTTGGCTTGCCCAGCTTGTTTGGATTACAAAAGGTTATTGTCTTTGGGTCTGTCATAATGCATTTGGCCTTTTTTTTGCTTTTTGCTTTTTCTTTCTTTCTTTTTTTTTTTTTTTTTCATGTGAGGTTTCCACACTGGCTTTGTCTCAACAGCCCACAGTGGTAGCAGAGCTGCCAAGTTTCCCCACAGCATTAGGACAACCACTGATCCAGCAATGTATACCGCATCACTAGTCCAGGCTGCCTGTAACTGCTTTGAGACCAGCCTTTCCCTTCTCCCTCCAGCTCTCCCACCCTTTCTCCTTGCTCTGCATTGGCAGTTGGGATGAGAAATCCGCTGTATGAAATGTATCTAAAATAAATCCCGCTTAGGTGGGAGCTGACTGTGAGCTGCCCCTCCTGCACCCTTTCCCCATGAGCGTTGTGGTTGAGCAACCATTGCAAAACACGTACTGTAGCTGGCAAGGCATCTTAAGAGCTGTGTCTTCTGCTGAACAAGCCTCCGAGCTGTC